CCCTTTAGTCGAGTGTAGACTAAAAATTAGTCTATCAGTTAGTTCATCTGTCGTGCTTAAAAAATTATGTTCTTTCAAAATCACTTCACAGGTTTGGATGGCTTAGAGTTAACTTCACATTTTAGTTCAGTATCAGGCCATAGTGTTTTCGTTAGGACAAATGCACGGAAAGAAAGAGGGTTGTGAAAATCAAGCGCCACGCACATAAGAAAATCTGAAAAGAAAACTCCAAATACGTACCCGTCGTGCCGATTTTTTCAAACCTGTTGGACTCCGGCTTGGATTGTCACTTGCGAGGCCCCCATACCCAACTTCCAAACGGCGCACATCATAACCGGCACAAAAACACACACGGCAAGTCGGCAAAGCCGGCCTTTGGATCCAGCAATGAGCCGTACACATACAAACAAAGGAGACGAAGCTAAGGCATCGCTGTCCAAGACGACAATATCACGGCCAGTCGGCCACAAATAAGAAATCTCAGCGCCGATCAACTCATCCCATACGTCCCGAACTAAAAACAAAATAATTCTGCACTCCCCTAAACTTAAACTCCGCTGCTAATTCCACCTTGGTGTTTGAGCAAGCCTGCTAATACCCCGGCTGCGTGTTGTACGTGGACATGCCCCGGCCCTTGATGGGATGAAGCTAAGTCCAATACAGCCGAATCAGTTTCATTCGCCTATGTGTGGCCTCTCGCCTATGGGTGTATAATAAACTGGTCATTGGAGAAGAGAACTCCTATGCGAATCATTGTTTATTCAGATCGTGGTCTTAAGACGAAGCCGATCGATGCCAATTGCCCTGGCAAGGATAATCTTGATCACCAGTAGTACATGATGGGGGCAATAATGCACGCGGAGTAAACACCCATTTCATGTCCGCACCTACTTTCAATTTTTTTATGAATAGCGGTTGACGGACGGTGAAGACCGCATTGTTAAGTGCGTTCGATGCTCCGGATATGCAAGATGATTCCCGCGAAATTCTTACATTTTTTTCAAGTGACGAGGGAGACATGTTTCTTTTTTCCCCTTCATTGACTTTGCGGATGATCTTTAAAAATAATGTTTGAGGGCAGTCTACAATGGTATCAAATAATTCGCTTTGGATTCACGCGTGCTATCTTATGACTTGGCACGGCCCGTAAGGGCAGTCTCAGCGGAGAGTTTTATGACGTTGTTTCTAAGATTGTCATGTCATATAAAATGGAATGAAACTCAGATAAAACACCCACTCTCAATGGAGAGTTTTATTCTATGGTTTCATAGGCATTTAATTCTATGACTCATAGAGAGTTGATAATCGTGCCGTGAGAGTTTCATCTAAATGAAACTCATTTCTTCTCTCTCTTTTTAAATACACTGTTATGTCATAAAAATACATATGTAGCAACCTATTTAATGTAAATAAAACTCATATGAAACCTCGACTCAGACTAGCCTTAACTAATCCTTTCCTTGATGCCGATCGCGAGAGCCAGCTGGTCAGAGCCAGGACGACGCACAGCGGACATGGTCGACCCCCGGCCCCGTCCGGCATATTACAGTCAAAACGTACACTTCTATGCTTCGGCATAACCAGAGCACGAAACCGCAGCATCCAATCGAGCTATACAATGCCGACTTGCAATAGTCGTTAGCACAAGAACCGTCACACGACACGAGTTAGTAGGTGGCGCCCCGGGAAATAAAATAATGATGATGGCTCGGAGTATTTGAGGGTGATAATAATGATCGTATGACGGAGCTCCTCCTCCATGGACCAATGGCTCCATGTGGGGTTCATGGGGTACGTCATGCGGCTGGCAGGAATTGTTGTTATCTCAGGCAGGTCTCAGCTCATTTTTTCAGGGAAAAAAAAGAGGGAGAGAGAGTTTTGCGTAGCCTCCGTGGATAACTAGCGTAAGCACGTCACACATCACGGACGGAATCTGCCAACTGTGCTTCATGCTCATGCGCCGTGCGTCATGCACCCGTGCTCGCCGGCCGAACCGCGCCTTTTTCAACCCCGCATGGTGGTGCTCGCTGATGCGCGTCCTGTGATTTTTTTTTAAAAGTCACCGGGGGAGAGGATCCCCACATGAATATTTCATTGCTCACTTAGTGCCTGCGGGCAAATATGAACAGAGTTTTACATCATTTGATCACTTGTGATCTAAATTGTTTTACATAGCATTTGTGAACCGATAAAAAAAAACCAGGAGATCCATTGTCCTGATCAGCAACCCTCTACTTCTCCAAGCTAAAAATCAATTTACTGCCTAATTTGGTAACTGCTCACCATGTCCCAAAGGATCGAAATTCTATTGCTCAAATTTTATAGGAAAAATGTTGTCAAGGGAATTAGGGAGTGTTTGATCTCACCGCAGTTATCACGCCACAATTATGGTGACGCCACAAAAATTAGTACTCGTATTTGGTTGATACAAGAAGACTTAAGACACAGAAAACACACATTCATTTCTCGCCACATGGTGTGGCGTTGGATTTGGGCGCCCCACCTCACCTAAGGCGTGGCAGACCAATGGTCAATAACACACGCCCTTAATTTCTTTCCACATTTACTCGAGCTGGACATGGATTTCTAAGCACCAAAAGACCATGGGGGCGTTGATATGGCAACATGGCTGCATGCAGATATCTTAGTTATATACGAGTAGTTCTCAAATGAGTGGCTAGCGCTAAGACATCCGGACACACCTCTCGCGCCCGCGCCCGCATCTCATCCCATGCCCACGCCCGCATCCCATTCCGCGCCGAAGCCCGCGTCTGGACACAGCCCGCGCCCGCATCCCATCCCGGCTGCGCCTCGCGTTAGCTCGCGGCGCTGTGTCTCTGCCATGTGGCTCCTCCATCCCCCGCCTCACCCCTATGCCCTCGCGGCGCCCCGTCCTCCGTTGTGCTCTGTCTCCACAGCGCCCCGTCCTCCACCGTGCTCTGTCTTCGCTGCGCACCATCCATGCTCCGCTCCTGTCGTAACGTCTCATGTCCTTTGCAACATCCGTCATGCGGTTGCAACACATGCAACATACATGTATAGTCATTGCAACACCCAGATAAAACACTTGCAACATACGTGTGAAACAACTAAAACATTTACAACATACACTTGCAACATGTGAAACATACATTTGCAACATACGTGTATAGCCATTGCAACATATGCAACACCAGATCTACTTTTGCAACATCCAAATAAAACGCATGCAACGTACATCTGAAACGCCTGAAACATACGGTTGCAACATGTGCTCATCTGCTTACTGCTTAGGCAAATGGAGGCTCGTTGACACGGAGCTTAACGCCGGTGCGGAGCTCGATGCCACGGAATGGCGCAGAGGTCGACGCTGCGGAGCTAAGTCTTGTAAAACCTCCGCTTGGACCGGCCTAATAAATACGGTATGTGTCATTTTTGCCTCCATGCTAACTTGCCTTAAGTTTATTTTGGACGGAAAGAGTATACGTATGTTATTACACACTTTTATAGGCGATGGTGACGATGCAAAGGCTAGAATCAACATCCCGTTAATACCACAAATTATCAGTGTCTTGTGTCTTATACGTACAATGAATCATCTGTGGTGACAAAAAGCTGGCAGTGCAACCAACTCCTCTTCCTTTCTGTTTCGAGGTAGAATCGTTCTCGGGCGGAGCAACCACCGTCCTGCCGTTTTCCAAGCACCCTTGCCGATTTTACCACGCAATGCCACTTGGATGAACGTGCCAAGCCAACGCTGGATAGATATAGATATATAGATAGATGGCCGGCCAGCCATCACTGACGCGAACGACCGTTTCAGTTTCAGGAAAGCCCCGCCACGCACGCCATCTTGTACTAGCAGAATCCTCCTATTGCCACTTCAGAGGCTGTGGATCTGATCGGTGAGGACCAAACGCATTGCTATTTGGTGCCGGTTCGTGGAGGGTTTTGTTATTAGTCAAACCGTGGGTGCGTCCTGTCTCGCATGATTTTTTTTTGCCTTTGTGGTACTGTACGTGATTGATCATTACGATCCGGCCGCTAGACAGGCAGGCAAGTGGCCACCATAGCTGCGAGCGAGCGCGTGCCTGTCGATCTTCTGATGGACCGCCACCGGCAAAGGCAGTGCAGGCATGCTCTCCTTTTTGAGAGCGAAAACGACCGGCACAGCGACTGAGCGACACGGTATGTGATGTGATCGCCCGGGTCGACACGCGTGTGGTGATTTCCGTTGCTTTTCCTGACAATTGCTTGCACTGTTTGAAGGAGACTGCATCAAGCCTAGTAGTAGTAGTAAGTACTCTCTTCGTTCTAGATTATAGGTCGCTTTGATTTTTTTTTACATCTATTTTATTATGTATCTAGTCTAAATATAATAATATGTCTAAATACATAGCAAAATATATGAATTAAAAAAGTTAAAATAACTTATAATTTAAAACGGAGAAAGTATAAATAAGCGAACTTCTCTAGCTATCACACGTTTATGTTGGTCGTACAAAGTAGCACTACTTTTTGTCTTGAAAAGATATACACTTCTGGTTCCATACTTAGTCAAATTATATAAAGTATAACCAAAGTTCCGAAAAATATATCGATACTTCTAATACTATAAATAAGTATACTATAGAAATATATTTCACAACAAAACTAGTAATAATATATATATAATTAGGCGGCTCCAAACGAAACGCCCCTCTCTGGCTCTCTCGCTCTTGCGCCGGTGACCCCGCGGATCCCAGCTAATCACCGCCAGGTCCCCGAGTCCAGCCAGCGCTAGGATAGGTCGCGAATAGCCAGCGGCCCCGAGGGACCGGAGCCGGAAAAGCGCCAACCGCCGGAGCTCTCTCCGCCCCCGTCCGGCGATCGCTCGCCGGGGACGTCGCGCCCGCCCGGCTCCATCGGCCGCGCCATTGGAGGAGCTGCTCCTCGCACGCGGCTGCTGCTTCCTCTCGGGGGGATTTTCCTTCTGCGGGCTCCCTCGCCCCCACCTCCCGTCGGCCGTCTCGTTTCCGGGGATGCCGGAGGCGGGGCACTACGGGTACAAGAAGACCGACGGCATCTGCGACGGCGTGTGCGGCGAGGTGAGCTCCACTCGTCTCCACCTCCATCCTCCTGCCCCGTTCACCCGCCTCCCCTTCCCTTCCCCGGTCAGATCCGCGCCGCGCGGCGCAGGGGTAGGTTCTTTGGCCCGCCTAGACGGTTCTACGCCGCGGGTGCGTGGCGCATTCTGCCCGGTCGCGCGCTCGTGTCCCCGCCTGCCACGATTTGGCGTGCGACCCGCGCCCGTGACGACGCGTCACGCGAAGTTTCGGGCTTTCGATGGGAGATGCTGGTTGTGGTTAGATTCTGGGGGCGCCGCTGGGCGTGGAGGCCGTTGCTGTTCCATGCTTGTGCGGTGTCGTTGATCTGCCCTGCAGCAGGCCTGGTATGGGCGACGAGGTGAATTAGGTGCTGCCCGTGCCGCTGGGGAGTCCGAATTCTTCACGCCGTTTGGGTGGCAGAATCTCGCGACGTGGCCGAATCGCGTGTTTCGGGCATGACATTTGGAGCTTCAGAATATGTCTCTAGATGAGCTTGGGGTGTTTTTTCCTGCTGCTTTCTTGATTCCATCCATCACGCGGGCTCTCGTGCTGCCAGAGTTTTAGGCTTTGCGCCGAATTTGCAGAATTTTGGACTGTTATTGATCCCTTTGGATAGACCGGAAAAGTTACGTTCTTTTTTTGGGAACATTACAATCAGTGGTGTCAGAGTGCTCTTGTAACCTTAAGCCGATTAGTTCAGTTGGGCATTGTGATATCCTAAATGCTTTGGGTTTTCTGTTCCTAGTTTATATTTTTTACTAAGCACGTGCTCTTTGTTAACTTCAGCTTTCTGCGTTTGTGCATGTAGTTGTGACATTAGTTATGTTTTTGTTTGCTCTTTGCTGGTTGTGTGCGGTGCTAGTCAGCTTCTGTTTAAGTGTTTAGCTTTTGATGACTCCTTCCTGGAAATAACAAACCCTTCTTCTCTGAAAAGTTGATGTTTGGGTTATTGCTTCAGGAGTTTATATCTCTTCGGTAACAAGGCTTTGTTTATAGCAAAGTTTTGTTGCTTTGGGGGTAGAGGGTGCCTAATACATGGGAATACTAGAATTTTAAATAGTTTAGTCTAGTAGTTGTTTGAAGATAGCTGGTGTTCTTATTTGCTTTACAGAATTCCTTTTTTGTTCACTATTGCTTGTTAGATTTCTTATATGGTTGATGAATTTCATTGCAGCCTGTGTCAAAGGCAGCTCTGACCATGTCAAGGCTAAAGTGCGCACTCCGGGGATTTGATTTAAGGGCACTTATGGTCCTCTTGATCGGTGTGCCAATTCTAATTCTGATGATATATGTGCATGGTCAGAAGGTCACATACTTCCTCCGGCCAATCTGGGAATCTCCTCCCAAGCCCTTCAAGACTATCCCTCACTACTACCATGAGAATGTCACCATGGAGAACCTCTGCAAGTTACATGGGTGGAAAGTCCGTGATATCCCACGCCGTGTCTTTGATGCTGTACTCTTCAGCAATGAGCTTGATATCCTGGAGATCCGTTGGAATGAGCTTAGTCCCTATGTATCAGAGTTTGTGCTTCTTGAGTCCAACTCAACCTTTACTGGCATAAAAAAGCCCCTCCACTTCAAGGAAAACAAGCATCGGTTTGGGTTTGCTAAATCACGGCTGACATATGGTAATATTGGGGGAAGGTTCGTGAAGGCGGAGAACCCATTTGTTGAGGAGTCATATCAGAGGGTTGCCCTAGACCGTCTTCTTAAGCTTGCAAGAATAGAAGATGATGACCTGCTGATCATGTCGGATGTTGATGAAATCCCAAGCGGGCACACAATTGATCTCTTAAGGTGGTGTGACGACATTCCAGACATACTTCATCTTCAGCTCAGGAATTATCTTTACTCGTTTGAGTTTTTTCTTGATGACAAGAGCTGGAGGGCATCAATACACAAGTACAAACCTGGAAAGACAAGGTATGCACACTTCCGGCAGACGGATGAGCTTCTTGCTGATTCAGGGTGGCACTGCAGCTTTTGCTTCCGCTACATAAGCGATTTTGCCTTCAAGATGCAAGCGTACAGCCATGTTGACCGGATCAGGTTCAAGTACTTCCTGAACCCTGAAAGGATTCAAGATGTCATCTGCAGAGGGGCAGATCTTTTTGATATGCTTCCAGAAGAGTACACATTCCAAGAAATCATTGCCAAGCTGGGGCCGATCCCAAGCACATATTCTGGTGTTCATCTCCCTAGTTACCTACTAAAGAATGTCGAGCGGTTTAGATACCTTCTACCCGGCAACTGCAGGAGAGAAAGTGGCTAGGTTTTGTGGCCTACCCTGCAATCTGTTGTGCATGGGTGGGTGCCGCTGCAAAGCTGTTGTCCATGGGATGCCGCCTGTGGCAGTTCACCTGGAATGATTGCCTAACGTAGTTGGACAATTGCTTGGGGAAGAATTGGTTCATGGATGGGTGAGCTCATGGTTCTGTAATGTGTAATAGAACATGGGAGGAGGATCTAACAGCATAGGGCATGCTTGGTCCCGGCTGGCTGTACCTTCCAGACGAGCTGAGCTGAGCAGTTTGTGCTTACATCCGGGATGTCATCGTCATTCATTACTTCCCTGATTGATATATAAACTCAAAAAGCTGTTGTAGATTGCAAATCAAGTGGTATTTCAGAATTACATATTGTAGAACCGGGCCTTGCTCTGCAGATAATTCACATGCATTTGCTCTTACTTGGTGTTCTGTTTTGTCCGTAGTGGCGCCAGAATGCTAGATTTGTGAATTTCTTTGAGCAAAAATCTGTCTTCCACGGCATTAGCGCAATGTACTTTCCTGTTCAAGCTGTATGGTGGTTGTCGGGTATCCGTACTAGGGATACCCGAAGAAGGGATCTGAGGACCGCGGACGATAACTCGTCTAGATAATAAGGACGCATTTCAGTCTCGACTCGAAGGGACAGTTTTTGCCTCGCTAGACCCCTCGGGCACGGCCCGTGTCGCCCGACCCCGATGGTACGGGAACCGTCTCGCCTGACCCTGAGGGCACGGGCTCCGCCTCGCCCGGCGGGATCCGTACCACCCCAACCACTACGGATCCAAGCGTGTGGGCCTGAGCCAAGCCTCTGACATCAGAAGGGGCTCGGGCACGCCTTGACGTGACCCGTGGCCACGACAGGCCACGCTCGGGGGTTCGCATCGCCAACAGTGACGGGTGCGTGGGCGCTGTGCTGCCTAATTCCCGTACGATCGCTGATAGGCACGTCGGTTCATCACGCCGTCCGCCGAGACGGGATGGAACGCCACGACCAGTTGATGACGTCGAGGCATAGCACCAGTGGTAAACCGGAGCCCGACGTGGAGCCGTTCCCATTACCATCTACAGCGTCGGCGGGACCCGCATGATGAAGAAGAAGGACGCGGTGGTCCCAAAGGGCTTCTCCTCGATTCTCTTCCTCTTTCTCTCTCCTATTTTTCTGAAGTAACTGTATCTTCCCCTTCTTCTATAAAAGGGGAAACACAACACAACACAATATAAGGAGATAGGCACGAGCACACGGCTGAGCAGCTGAACAAACTCTCAGCACTTTTCAATCCTTCCTCTAGAGACCTGGGATCCGCTCCCTCTCCCGCCCATCTGTAACCGCTACTACAAACAGTGCCGGTAACACGAGCAGCAGCAGACTGGACGTATGGACGTTCTGCCCGAACCAGTATAATCCTTGTGTCCTCCGAGCACACCATCCGGGGTCAGACGCATAAACTAGAAATTTACTAGCCGGTGATCCGAAACACCAACAGTTGGCGCGCCAGGTAGGGGGTTTTTGCGTGTCTCGACGTCCACATCAGGCCTCGGATGGCTAGTCACGGCGTCAGCTGGATCTCGAGCGCGCACGTGCGCTTCGAGAGCCTAGACTTCATCGTCATGACGGAGGGAGAGTAGGCGCAGGCTCCCGCCGCCGTCCCGCCTCTCCACTTAGCCGTCCTCGACACGATCGTCGAGGCGCTTGAGGAGCTGTAGCTGCACGCGCCGGAGGCCTGTGTCCCCGGGAGCGACCGACTCCTCGGCTTCGACTACGGGAGGCTGGAGCACCAACTCGACGCCTTCCTAGGACCCCGACCGTCCCGAGAGGAGCTCCGTTGCCTTATTTTCTCCTTCGCCAACGCCACGATGCAACTCGTCGGAGGGGAACCGCTCTCCCTGAAACACCTCACTCGGGACGCCTCGGTAGCGTTCCTGTTCGGTCTGCGCAATGCTGTGGGGACCATTGGCCACCTTGTGGCGCAGCGCATGCACCCATCCCCTACGAATGACGAGTTCATGGGGATGACCGAATACATCGCGGAATCTTTCCACGACCTTCTCGTGGGAGATTCAGAGTCGCTCTTTGACTCAGACTCCAGCAGGGGTGTTTACACCAAAATTTAGAAGCAGAGTCGCAGGGACTCGAAAGCTCCTAAGATCATGCTACCAAGGAATCAATTGCGTGTAGATCGAAATTAGTTGATTTGAATACAACACCGGAATCGGCTTTCGCCATATAACGCCAGCAGATAACGACAGAGGCTACGATCGGCATCAGGACAAAGCATGTTGGACTCTACAAAAAGGAAAAGATTAGAGTCCAAGTTATCTTAAATTAGGAATGTTTTCTCGTAGGGCCAAAGATTGTGATAAGTCGTGCTTAGATAGGAGTCAGACGTAGGTTCCGGGTATAAATACCAAACCCCGGCTATTGTAAGGGACACAATCAATCCAATATATAAGTCATATACTTTTTCGGCTCCGGCCACCCCTTAGGAGTAGGAGTAGAGTAGATCTCGACGAGTTCTTCAGCAAGTATGGCTGCATCGATCTGGTCGACCTCCACTGCTTGTTGTAAGTACCGTCATGGCTTATACCTCTGTTCGTACGGCTGCATCGATCCGGTCGACCTCCACTGTGACTCTGGTATAAGTTAGTTATCGATTCTTGCCTAGTTCAAGTATGGCTGCATTGATCCGATCGACCCCCACTGCATGAACTAGATCAAGGTCAAGTTATCGGCTCTACCTTAGAATGACAGTCTTTGGTAGATTCATTAAGTTATCGATGTTGCTTATTGCTTTCATTATCTATCTAATTACAGCAATATCACTCTGCCCGATTGGGATTGATCTAGATCGGCCTTATATCTTGTTTAGCCCATCGTTTGTTAACCTAAAACTGATCTAATCTACACATTAAACGTTGAGTTACGTTTTATCGGCTGTTTTACGTCAATCTTGATCGTGCATAGCGTGCGGTTAAAGCATGTTGCGTCTTGAGTAGATCTATTGGCTAGCGAGAACCGTTCCATGGCCCGTTATCACGGTCTGTGTGATTCTACCTCACACCCCATTGTTAGCACCGTGGAGTGGGGATCATTATTTGGTAGATCTATTCCTGATAAGGCATGACTTTAACTGTGCGCTATGCCTGAATCGACTGTTTTAGCCGATATCGAGTGCTTTCATGAATAGTTCACATCACGAGACCGTTGAAGTAAAGATAGGTTGAAAGATGTGTTAGCCCCATGATCTTATTATTATATTACGGCCTGCATGATTCTGCCTCATGCCCCACTGATATTAGTAATGAGTTAGGGTCGTCGAGTCAATTGTTATTTCTACGGCCTGCATGATTCTGCCTCATGCCCCACTGGTCATAGCGATAGATGAGATCTAACATGCTCATTAGATTTATCTTTATTAAACGGTTAAATGGTGCTGAATTGTTTCTTTATATAAAAAGGGGTTCGGTTACTTGTAATCATTGGCTTAGCATAAACCAATCATTATTGATATCTTATTGCCATTGATTAATATTTGTTCAAATAACGACATTTATCTTGAATGATAACCGATTCTTCTTATACAACCCAATGAGCTTTAACCGATTTATTTTCATGAATATGCTGGAATCGACTGTTTAGTCGATCTCCTTTTATATCGGCTCTTAGAGCCACACATTCGGGACTGTCTGGCAACACCGGCACGTTCCGCCCTTAATTACTGATAAACTTTCTCTCCTTGTCAATTACAGGGTCAAATTGACTGGCACGTCTCGGGAGGAGTGCGCAGGATCGACCATCCCTGCGCTGAAGCTAGACGGATCTACAACTCCATCGAGCAGACCCTTCCGGCTTGCTACATGTGTCCTCGGCACGGGACAAAAATTATGTGTCGACAAGGGGGAGTCATCACCCCTCGTGAGAATGTTTTATGGCTGGTACCCCCGATGGACGTGTCGAAAGCGTCCACGTTGGAGCGCTACCCCACCAAATGACCTCGACGATGAGATCGAGGTAGATGCAGGGGCCCTTCCTCATATGCGGGTGGAACAGCTAAGGGCACGGCACCATGGTCTCGAGGATGCATGACTCCAACTCGAGCAAGAGCGCGTAGAGCTCGAACGAGAGATCGAGCGCCGCGGAGACGGTGGGCGTGCGTGCGCCATGGCCCGCGACGTGACCCAGAGGATCATCGAAGACGATGGAGCCCTCCCACACTTTGCCCGGGCAAGCCAGAACATCGCTGCCGTGGCGGCCTTGCTCCGAGGGCTCTCGGAGCCCGCGACACCCGAGGATCGTCGAGCCCATCATGAGATCCGCACGCTGCTCAAGCGCACGGCGGTGCAGCAGGTGAAGACCTCGCTGTCTCGGCGACGCGAGCTCGATGCCAGTCAGTGCACGCCCTCGGGACGACTTGTTAGGGATGTGTCTGTCCACCAGGTGTCGTGCGGTGGGGGGGGCACTGCGGCCCCAGTGCTTGAGCATCTTGGCCTCCACCATGATGCACATAACACCCTAGATGCCCGTAGGCATGGACGAAGCGATAAGAGAGAGGTAGCCGGCCGTGGCTACCACCCTCATCGCGGCGGACGCTACGACAGCGGCGAGGACCGGAGCCCGAGCCCCGACCTGCTGGGACCTCAGGCCTTCGGCCGACATATCCTCAACGCCGCCTTCCCACCGCGGTACCGACTGCCAACCACTCTTGGGGTCAGGCGCTTCTTCGATGATCTCCCTGATGGCCCGAGCTCTTTGGAGGCGACAATCACCGCGGCGTGTTCGTAGCATTCGACCTCGCACTCGTAGGCACGCTGGAAGGAGGTGCCGATGGTGATGACCCCACACAGACCTAGCATCTTCAACTTCAGATAGGTGTAGTTGGGGACATCCATGAACTTCGCGTAGCATGGATGTCCTAGGATGGCGTGGTAGGTCCCGTGGAACCCGACCACCTCGAAGGTAAGGGTCTCCGTCCTGTAATTGGTTGGATTCCTAAAGGTGACAGGC